TTTTTTTTTTTTTTTTCATTTTTCCTTCTTTTAGGTTTATGTTCATGATGCCGAGGCATATACATATGACGATGAGGTGCTGAAGAAAGCTGATGCCATGGGAAAACCGGGTCTGGTTGAAATCCATGCCAAGGAAGATAGCTTCATTTTCACAGTCGAGACAACTGGTGCGATCAAGGCATCTCAATTGTTGATCAATGCCATAGAGGTCTTGAAGCAGAAATTGGATGCAGTTCGTTTGTCGGCCGACACTGTTGAAGCTGATGAGCAGTTTGGGGAGTTGGGGGCTCATATGCGTGGCGGGTGATTCGTGTGTTTGACAGTTTTTCTCACGCATGTGATGTTTTGTATGTTCAATTCGGTTTAACTTAGTATGAAATTGATCTTAAGTTGTGTAAATTATTATGGGATTGCTGGAGTTGATATTCCTTGTTGGACATGGAAAGTCACCTGTAAGTGATACTGAGTGTAGTAAGATGACAGGTTTTGATGGTTATGAATTATGATACAGGTGACGGTTGAACCTGGGCTTGACGAAGTTGAAATGTTGCATAAATTTTTATTTTTTGTATTATTTGTCCCACTGAGAATGATTGTATGGTGTTGAGGGTAGAATTTAGGTCGTGCTGAGAAATTGTAACGAGTGTGTGATCAAATTACAACATAGGGTAAATTGCAATGTAATCTTATTTTGCAAAATCAGCATTTTTTTCTCTTTGTGATTATGGTATTTTGTGATGTCCACTGGGAGTTCAAAAATAGTTTTGAAGCTTCACATCAGTCATGTGAAAGAAGAGAAATTAAGAGTCTTGAATTCAAACAATTTTCCCGAAGTCTGCACTGATGATTCGACCGTTGGAAAGAGATTAAGAATCGATGTTAACTACGTTTCCATTATGTCAATTAGTTTGTACCAAGTGAACATTTTTCGTTTCGCATCTTTGAGACGCAGCACTTTAGATGGGATATGGCTAGAGACTAGAGATGTTAGATCCAACCCGGTTAAATTCAGACCTTTTCAGGCTCGGGTCGTTTAGTCCAAGCCCACACGACTAGTCCGTACAATAAAGAGCGAAACAGAATATAAATCATGCAATTCAATGAGGGAATAAAGAACGCTCCAAGAATAAGGAGACACAGAATAGTTCTTAGAGTTTCAGATTGTCATGTCTTGCCTCTTTAAGACATTTATACGGTTTATGATGACTTTTTATAAGCTCTTACAATAAAATTTGACCTTCAAGAAAAATTTACACAGGTGCAACAAACACGAAAAATTACGGCATCTTGAGTTACACATTCAAAGTTTATATACTCATGCACGAGTTCATTACAAGAGCTATAGGTCACAATAGGGAATGAATCATATTTTCTTAGTCATTTCCAGTCTCAAACAAATTACTACATTCTAATCCTCAATAAGATAAAGAAAAAATTACCAGTAATCTTTAGGCAAAAGACAGAGAGAGGCAAGATGTCGTACAGAGCCATAGTCAATACCTTTAGGTTGAAATCGAGCCGCCATTCACTTAATGCTGATGGCAATTGGATATGAAATCTAGTCATGTATTTTCAGTAGCCTGCTGTATCTGTAGAGCACCTCTAACAATATCGCCCCTTGTAATAATTCCAATCTATCATCATACAGAATTTATTTTGAAAAAAAAAAACATTCAAGCATTAGCTTTCTACAGGTAATTGGAACACATATACTAAATGCAGAAAAGAAAATAGAATTCATGTTACCAGCTTTCCTTCACCGTCGACAACAGGTAGACGCCGGTACTTTGGTTTAAGCAATAACCTACTTCGAGATTTTTTATTTCTGACATTTGTTAGTAAATTCATATTAACTAACACTCATTAAGAAAGAAAAAATGATAATAGGCCAGTTATTTTATATGGTTGGACAAGGCAGTTTTCTTAAAACAGAAATCAAGTGGTGAAAGAAACTAATATAAGGAAGGAAAGCATAGTAACATTAGTTTAGAACTTTAGTCTTTCCAATTCAACAATAATATTTTTTTTTAACAAGCTCACCAGTGTACATACATGAAGCATACGACTCCAGAGACTCGGAGACTCCAATTACTGGAGATAGCTAGACATACATAGCATTAATCTCAAGAAAATGAAAATCAAAACTAGCCTACATCATATTTAGTGATCTGCATAACTTGCTTGACAAAGGGTGAGGCAAGCCGTATAAAACCTGTGGTCTTACAAAATCCAATGAGAACACTTATGTATAGCTAATATCCAAGAATCTACGCCACCCAATGGTTTATAGAGTGTATTTATCTTTTCCATATCAGGAATTGTTTTGAGCAGGTTCTAAAAACCCGTAGGTTTCAGTCGCACCAAGTTAGCAGAGTTTAATATAGTAATATGAATATATGATAGTACTGATTTAGGGGCAAACAAAATTTATAGTCCGATTAGGAAGAGTATGAGAGCTACTAACGACCTCTGACAAAATCAGGTATTTGATTCTGTTCAACAGAGTAAATAATTATACGAGGAATCTTCTTTTCATTTTTTTTTTTTATTTCTTTCTCTAGAGGAAAGAAGAATCACTCAGCGATTCCTAACGTCGTTTTTAGCAATGAGAGAAAAATACTAGAGAAAAAGTTAAAGACCTCACAGCATCCTCAAGATTGGTGTTTGCCCGCGCAACAAGTGGTGAAGGAGTCGTAAAATCACCTACAACCTTCCCATTAGTTTTGCTGAGTAACTTCATCATTTCATTAAATGTCTGCATGTACAAAAATACTAGAAACTGATGGAAGAAATACATTGAGATATCAATTTAATTAACTTAAAAGGTTTTAGTACAGATCACTATCAAGTTGATATTCGCTTCATGTGATGTCGATTACACCACAAATATGTAGAGTAAAACAAAAGGACATAGTTTATCACAGTAATGAGACATGCACGTTACTAGCAGTACATGCTACTCCTACGGACGATCCAAAAGAATCACATGTACTTTACTATTTCATAGTTTAGAAAATATGTTGATTTAGTGGACACTCGAAGCATCAGTACTGCTGGCATGACCAACTAAGCATAAAGAGTAGAGCCTCACAGACAAAATCAGAAATACAAAGACGGACTCTAGTATAGTATCCTATGCTGCAACTGAATAAACTACTTAAAATCACACTGATATTCATTTTTTTCTTTTCTTCCGAGTGAGTTACTGGAAGGAGATTGTTGAGATATAAGTGGAAAAAATTACAAAAAAATAGTTTTTCATTTTTTCTTAAGGAAAAAAAAAGAAATAAATAAAAAGAACAGAATAATGACAGTACCACGTTTATCAGTTCTATTAAACTGCGATAAACACAGGAGGAAAGCTAAGAACTATGCACATGATTTATGCATCAGGAAATTCACATAGCAATAGAAAGGAAAAATATGTTCTCATCTTTCAATAAATGAACAACCGGGACAACCGAGAACAAGTTTGTATCTTGTTGAGCCCCACCTAAGTTTGACAAAAGAAAAATGACATAGTTAAACAAAATTTTTTAAATGCAATACTTTCAACCCCAAGCCCAACTTAAACAACGCTGCCACCAAGCACAATTAATA